GGGGGTGGGTAAACATTCTTAGCAGTAAAACTGTGTGGTTATGTAGGAGAATGTCTTTTTTTCTTGGGAGATACTTGCTAAACTATTTAGGGGATAAGTGCCCCTGGAATGTACTTTCAAATGGAAAAAAACAAAACAAAACACAGGTGTGGGTGGCTCACGCCTGTAATCCTAGCTACTCAGGAGGCAGAGATCAGGGGGATCACAGGTTGAAGCCAGCCCTCGTAAATAGTTCGAGAGATCCTATCTCAAAAAAACCCATCACAAAAAAGGGCTGGTGGAGTGGTTCAAGTGATAGCCTACCAAGCAAGTGTGAGGCCCAGAGTTCAAATCACAGTGCCACCAAGAAGAAGAAGAAAAGGATTTTTAAAAAATTATTTTATGCAGAAACTCAAGGACCTGAGCTTTGTGGGCAAGGACTCTACTACTTGAGTCACACCTTGAAGCCATAGGAATTAGCTTATTTACATTTTGCTTTTTTGTTTTGAAATAATTTTAGACTCCGGAAAAAGCTATAAAAATAGTAGAGGTCCACGTACACATGAAAAGGCAAATATGTCAAAATGCACTTTATTTATTTTTATATTTTGGTGGTCTGGGACTGTTAGGTCCCTGGCATTCTTGGGGTGGGCAGAAGGACCCAAGGCTAGCACCTTAAAACCAGACGCCCTGATTTATGACCACTTGTTTCTCCCTGCCTGATTGTTTCTCAGCTTGCAAAACAACTCAGGAACTTCCAGTTACTCAACTAGCCAGGCATGTTGACCTGTTCCATCTGGTAATCGCAGATAATCAGAGACCAGACTCTCTCTCCCTCCCCCATGGCTTGGCCCCTCCTATAAAGCCCACTACCCAATTCAGCCAAGCTGCCTCACTCTGAACCCGAGAGTGACGGTCCTGTGGTCTGGACCAATAAACCTTTCCTTTCCACACATGGCATGGTCTCTATTAGGCAGTGCCTTACATCTGGTGCCAAATCCTGGGAGAGGTTAACAGGATGCTCTGGCCCAGGGCTGCTCCCTTGGCTTTCGTGTCCTGCCCTCTCCCGAACCCAGGCTGCTGAATTGACCCCACGTGCCTCCAGACTGTGGATTTCAGACCTTACTGCCTTGCCAGCTTCTCCATCCATCATTAGCCTTTCTCTTCCACTGCTCTCCACCTGAACTATTCCTCAGACTCAGTGTCACCCTCCTGCTGGGGCTACCTGCTCTGCCTGGTCCTGAAGTTGTAGCGCTATGCCAAGTACGCCTCTCTCCACTCACTGGGGCACCTACCACTTAGCATGGGGACACCTGGCTAACTGGTTGGGACATTTTCCCTTGGATGGTAACCCAGGCCAGGGAAGCCTGTGACACTCCCACTCTCTCTTTCTCACTCCCTTTCTCTTGCTCTCCCTCCCTGTTTTCCTTTCCTCTGCCCGAAGTGAGAGCTCAACAGCCCCTCCAGCTTACTTTGACCAAACGGCAACAGGACGATTCTGCTGTCCTTGCCTGAGTCACATAAGGAAGGGTAGATCTTGACCTAGGACTATATTGGCCTGAATGGTAAACTTACCAAGGCACCTGCTCTCTCTCTCTCTCTCTCTCTCTCTCTCTCTCTCTCTCTCTCTATGTTATGGGGACCACACACTCTAAATTAGATGCATCCACACCCCTGGAATGCCTTCTCTGCTCTCTCAGGAACCTTGGTCTCCAAGACAATATAAAACCTAAGCTACTGATTTATTACTGCAACACCGTTTGGCCTCAGTACAAGCTAGACAATCAATCATAATGGCCTGAAAATGATACTTTTGATCCTCACACACTTCTAGATCTTAACAATTTCTGCCATTGCTATGGAAGGTGGTCCAAGATTCCATACATCCAAGATTTTCTTCCTCTCTGCTCTCGACCCTCCCTGCTTCAGTCTTGCAACGCTGTTCAAATCCTCTTTGCCAGTGACAAACCCCCCTCAAAATCCAGAACTCCTCCTGACCCCTCTCCTGAAGACTCTTCCCTTACTTGTGACCTCATGGGCTCCATCTGCCCACCTCCCAACTCCTCCCACCAGTCCTCTACTTCAATCTCTTCTCCCACCCCATTCTCCCATGACTCACACCCCCCTTCTTCCACCCCTGCTGGCTCTCCCAAACATCTGCCACCATATTCCCCTTGTACAGTAGTCACTATTAACCCTGAGCCATCAGCTTCTCAGGAACCAACACCACCAGCCTTGCCCTCAGCCCCTGCTACACCCTCACCCTTCTCCTCCCGACCTGTGTCCCATACCTGCTCCTATACCTCCTCCCAAGCACGCCCAGCCCATCTCTACCCACTTTGGGAAGTGGCAGGAGCTGATGGCATTATCAGAGTTCATGTGCTTTTTTCCGTGACTGATCTCTCCCAAATTGAAAAGAGGCTTGACTCCTCTGATGACTCAGCCTCCTATATTAAAGATTTAAATACCTAACCCAAGCATATGATATGACTTGGCCTGATATATGTTATTCTTTCCTCCACTTTAACTCCAGCTGTAAAGGAAAGAGTTTGGTTGGCAGCCCAGGCACATGCCGATGATGTCCACTGCACAGATCCCACTCTTTCAGTGGGATCTACAGCTGTGCCACATAACGACTCACATTGGGACTATCAGGACCCCACCATGCTAGCCACCCGAAATTGTATGCTCACCTGCCTCTTTGTGTGGCTACAGACTGCTTCCTAGAGCACAGTCAATTTTGACAAACTTAAAGAAATTATCCAACGCCCATCTGAGAACCCCTGACTTCTTAGGGCGCCTTACTGAAGCTTTAACCCGCTATACTAAGCCAGACCCATCTTCTAAGGATGGAATAATTATTCTCAGCTCTCATTTTATTTCCTAATCCTATCCTGGTATTCGAAGAAAACATAAACAGGCAGAGGGTGGTCCTCAAACCCCCCTGGGAGATCTTATGAAAATGGCATTTAAGGTATTTAATAGCCAAGATGAGGCCCGATACAGCAAAAGGCCCAGCTCTTGGCGGCTGCCCTAAGACCACCTCCTCCAACTTTGAGACGGGTCAGACAACAACGCACGCCTCCAGGGGCCTGCTTCAAGTGCAACTGGATGGGACACTGGGCAAAACACTGCCCTTCACCTCGCCTGCTGCGAGGACCCTGTCCATGATGTGGCCAGAATGGTCACTGGAAGAACAACTGCCCCTCTTTGTCTCTGCAAGGTAGGTCAGTCTCCCACTCCCACTCTCAACAGAGTGAAGGCCTCATGGAACTCTTGGGCCCGGGGCAGAAGACTGATGTGGCCCTGAGACCTCAGCCCCCTTCAAGATCACTTCGGAGGAGCCCAGGGTAACCGTCCAAGTAGCAGGTAGGCCAATCTCATTCCTGCTGGACACGGGCCAGTAATTCGGTGGTACCCAACTTTCCTGGTAAGCTTTATCCCTCACAGATCTCCGTGGTGGGAGTAGACGGTGTCCTCCACTGGCCAAAAACTACCAGGCCACTTTCTCGCTACTTATCAGGTGTCCCCTTTACACACTCATTCCTTATCCTGCCCTCTTGCCCCACTCCGCTGTTAGGAAGGGAGCTTCTCTCCAAACTTCATTTCACCTTCTCCTTTACACCCCCACTCACTACTCAAGACCAATCCCATTCCTTTTCCTAATGGTACTTACTAATTTCACTCCCTCATCAGCTCCAAACTCTCTCCCTCTGCCTCCTGATGTAGTAAATCCAATAGTCTTGGATATCTCCTCTCCTTCTGTCGCTTCCCACCACCCACCAATTAAAATATATCTAAAAGACCCTAAATCTCACCCAAACAGGCTACAATATCCTAGCTCCCTAAAACATAGGTGGGGACTAAAACCCCTCATTGACAAACTCCTAGCCAAGAAGATTCTTAAACCCACCCTCCCCATGTGACACCCTCATCATCCTACCTGTCCTAAAACCTGATGGCTCACACAGACTGGTTCAGGACCTGAGCGTTGTTAACTCGGCTATGCTTCCCATCCATCCTGTGGTACCCAACCCATATACACTATTATCTCGTATTCCTTCAGACACCTCCTATTTTTCTGTCCTTGATCTTAAGGATGCTTTCTTCACTATCCCCCCTCACCCTGATTGTCACAATCTCTTTGCATATATGTGGGAGGACCCAGCCTCAGGATTAGCACAACAGCTTACCTGGACAGTCCTTCCCCAGGACTTCAGGGATAGCCCCCACTTCTTTGGCCAGGCTCTGGCATGGGACTTATCCTCACTTAACCTTCAACCCAGTGCTCTGCTCCAATATGATGATCTCCTTCTCTGTAGCCCCACCCTTACCTGCTCTCAGAAC